GGGGGGGTCAGGGACCTCAGCAGTGGGGGAAGGGCGGGGGGATCCCCCCAGGCCCCTGCAGCTGCAGAATTCGGGGGTCAGCTCCCTCCCAGCCCAGCTGAGCCCCACGGAGGGGGGTTCAGCACCCTTGGGTGGGGGTCTCGGCCCCGTCTCTCAGCGCCCCCTCCCCGTTCCCGCAGGAGGCTCCGTGCGGCGGCGGCGGCAGCGCCCGGGGGGGCCCCCGGCCGTGGCGTTCGCCGAGGGCTGGGTGGAATTCCGGGACAAACGCGCGGCCAAACGCGCGGCCAAAATCCTGCACGGGGCCCCAATGGCCCCCCGGCCCCGCAGCCCCTTCCGCCATCACTGCTGGAGCATCAAGGTGGGGCTCGGGGGGTCCCGGGGAGGGGGCTCGGTGGGGGGGTCAGGGACCTCAGCAGTGGGGGAAGGGCGGGGGGATCCCCCCAGGCCCCTGCAGCTGCAGAATTCGGGGGTCAGCTCCCTCCCAGCCCAGCTGAGCCCCACGGAGGGGGGTTCAGCACCCTTGGGTGGGGGTTCAGCACCCTTGGGTGGGGGTCTCGGCCCCGTCTCTCAGCGCCCCCTCCCCGTTCCCGCAGGAGGCTCCGTGCGGCGGCGGCGGCAGCGCCCGGGGGGGCCCCCGGCCGTGGCGTTCGCCGAGGGCTGGGTGGAATTCCGGGACAAACGCGCGGCCAAACGCGCGGCCAAAATCCTGCACGGGGCCCCCATGGCCCCCCGGCCCCGCAGCCCCTTCCGCCATCACTGCTGGAGCATCAAGGTGGGGCTGCACACCTGTGGGTTCCTGGGTCGTTGGGACCCTTCATGGGTGAGGGGCTGGGGTAGCCCTGGGTCCCTTTTTGGGGGTCCCAGATTTGTTGGGAGCACCTGGGTTGGTTTTTTGGGGGGTCTCGGATGGTTTTGGCCCCCTGGGGGTTCCTCTTTTAGGGTTATGGGGGGTCCCCGACCCTGGGGGAGGGGCTGTTGGGAGACCCCTCCCACAAACCTGTCCTGGCAGCTGGAGGGGGGGCTTTGAGCACCCCAAAACCTTACTGGGGGGGTGGTCTGGGGTCGTTTGGGGGTGCCCTGACCTGTGCCCACCCCCCCAGTACCTGCCCGGGTTCCGGTGGCCTCACCTGAGCGAGCGGCTCAGCTACGAGCGCCAGGTGCGGGCGCAGCGCCTGCGGGCCGAGGTGGCCCAGGCCAAGAGGGAGGGGGGCTTCTACGCCCGCCGCGCCTCCAAGGACCCCCCCAAAACCTCCCGAGACCCCGCGGCCCCCGCCCCGACCTGGGGCTTCGCACAAAGACCCACCGAGGAGGAGATCTGGCGGCGCAAAGCTCGGCCCCCCCCGGCCGCGCCCCCCCAGAGCCTGCTGGAGAAGGTGTTCGGGACGGGCAGGTGAGACCCCCCCTCAAATCTGGGGGGGCTCAGGCGTCTGGGAGGGGCCCTTGGCACGCCAGGGCCTCCTCCGCACGCCGATGCCTTTCTCAAGGATCGCAGAATGTTTTATTTTTCTCCTTAAAACTTTTATTACTTTTAACAAAAATAATTCCTCGCGGTCTCTTTAAATTCTGCCGAGGGGGCGGGGCCAAGGGGAGGGGGCGGGGTTATGGCTTCGGCGCGAAACTCCCTGAAGGCAGCGCGGGGGGTGGGGAGTGGGAGTGGCTTAAGCAGCGCAGGCCACGCCCCTTTACCATAAAAGGACGTGGGCTAAGAAAGCAACAGCAGGTGAAAGGTGCGTGTGGGCGGGGCCTGTTCCGAGGGGCGGGGCCGGAGGAAGCCACGCCCCTCCCCACGCCTTAAACAGGGCATTTAAATCTCTACAAAGGGCAGGGCAGGGCTCTTAAAGGGGCCGCGCCCCCATTTCGGGGGGGCGGTTCCAGTGTCAAAAATAGAAGCTCTGGGGGGTGGGGGAGGGGCCCCAGTATGGCACTGGGGAAATGGGAGAACGAACAAACTCGGGGCCCCATAAACCTGATGTCCCCATAAACCTGGGGGGTGGGGGGCAAGCCCCCCCAAAAATGGGTGCTGAGAGCACCCCAATATCCCTGGGAAACCGAACGGGGGGAGTGGTACCAAACTGGGGACTCCCCCCCTCAAAATGCCACTCCTGGGGTCCCTCAGCCTTGCTGTGTCACTGGGGGAGGGGAAACCTGACCCTGTAGGGGGGGGGCAGGGGTCCCCAAAATCGGGGTGTCACCCTGGGGTCCCCCTGAATCCCCACAGCGGGGTCCTGGAGCCCCCAAACCTGGGGGGCACCCCAGACTCACCCAGTGATGGTCTGGGGGTGCCAGTCCCACCCTGGGGACCCCCCAGGGCCCCTCCCCCACTACACCCAAGGCTCCATCCCCAAATCCCACTCCCCAAAGGTGCCACACCCCATCCCTCCTCCCCACACCCCCCAATTTGCCGGGCCGGGGGTCCCGGGGGTCCCGGGCAGGGCCCGTAGGCCTCGAGGTCGCAGAGCAGCTCCACCAGGTCCAGCACGGAGCGCAGGGGGGGGCGCCGGGCCAGCACCTCGTGCCCGGGGGGCACCGGGCGGCCGCGGGCCACCAGGACGCGGAAAGCCAGGCCCGGGTTGAGCAGCACGGCGGCCGCGGCCATGGAGGAGCGGGGGCAGCGCTGCACCAGCCGCAGCCCCCGCGCCGGGCACGGCCCGGGACCCCCGTCAGCGCCCACCACCCCCCAGTGAGCCGGGAGCGGAATCTCGGCCAGTTCCTCCAGGAAGGAGCCGGGCCAGAGCTGGGGAGCGGGGGGCAGCGGGAAGGGCTGTGGGGGGGAAGGGGTTAATGGGGTGGGGGGAGCACTTAGAGCACCCCCAAGAACCCCCCCAGCCCGCAGGAGCCTCCTTGTGATCCCCCTTGCTTTGAGAGCCTCCCAAAAAACCCAAGGGTCAGCCCCAGAGGCCTTTCCAGAGCTCACCAGGACCCCAAAAACCTCCCCCGTCCCAAAAATCCCCAAATTAACAGGACCCCAAAAACCTCCCCCCTCCCAAAAATCCCTTCTCCAACTCACCAAGACCCCAAAAACCTCTCGCCTCCCAAAAATCCCTTCCCCAAATTAATAGGACCCCAAAAACCTCCCCGTCCCAAAAATCCCCAAATTAACAGGACCCCAAAAACCTCCCCCCTCCCAAAAATCCCTTCTCCAACTCACCAAGACCCCAAAAACCTCTCGCCTCCCAAAAATCCCTTCCCCAAATTAATAGGACCCCAAAAACCTCCCCGTCCCAAAAATCCCCAAATTAACAGGACCCCAAAACCCTCCCTAAAGTTTTCATTTCTCAGACCCCACCCCCAAATTCCCTCTAAAGCCCCGCCCCAGACACTCCCAACCCCTTCCCAAGATCCCTCAACCCATTAAAATCCCCCCATGACCCCCCGAAGTTCCTCAGGACCCTCCCCAAATCCTCTGACCCCCCCCCCCCCAGGAATCCCCTGCTCTTCCTCACCACTCGGCTGCTGCCCTCCTCCTCCTCTTCCTCCTCCTCCTCCTCACTCTCATCCAGCACCACCAGCTGTGCAGGGGGGTGCTGGGGGGGCACCTGGGGGTGAAGGCAGAGGCTCAGGACCCCCCCCAAACCCCAGGGACCCCCCCAAACTCCAGGGTCCCCCCCTTACCGGCACCAGGGACGCGCTGGGCTGGGGCTGCTCCTGCTTCACGCGGGGGGTGGCGGCGATCAGGACCCCCAAATCCCCGGGGGGGGGCTGGAAAAGGAGGCGGGGCAGGGGCGTTATGGGGGTCCCAGACACCCCGAGGAGGCTCAGGGGGAGTTTGGGGTCCCACTCACCCTCTGGGGGGCGACGCTGGGCTCCGGGGGGGCCCCTTTGAGGCGGGGGGCCGAGGCGATGAGGAGCCCCAGGCGAGGGTCCTGGGGGGCAGGGGGGGTCACAGGGGGGTCCCAGGTGTCCAGGGAGGGTCCCAGGCAGCCGGGGGGTCTCACCTCGAGGCGGGGGAGGGGTCCCGCCTCCTCCTTGATGGGGCAGAGGCGCAGGGGGGGGCCCGGGATGGGCCCGGGGCCATTCTCAGCCCCCCCCAGCAGCTCCTTCTCCTGTGGGGGAGGGGCAGGTCAGGGCAGCCAGGTGAGACGCCCCCGGTACCCCCCAGGTATCCAGGAAGCCCCCACCCCCCAAAAAGGGACTCAGGTGTCTGTGGAGGACCCCCCCACCTCATCCCCCGTGGGGAAACTGAGGCACACACAAGCCTTGGGGTCATGGGGGAGGGGACCAAGGCATCCGGGGGTCCCCAAATTCCCCAAAGCCCCTCCCGCGGGGCGGGGGGGGGGCGTGGGGACACCTTGGTCCCCTCCCCCGACGCCTGGGTCCCCCTGAGGGGGGAGGGTCCGTGCAGAGCAAAGCAGCAAAGCAAGCACAGCAAATTGCAGGCCGGGGGGGCCGGTGGCTGCGGGGCCTGGACAGGGGGAGGGGGCGGCCGCTCCAGGGGGGCCCCCAGCGACCCCCCCCCACCGGCAGCAGCCGCCTCTGCGCCAGGAGAGAGACCTCAGAGCGGGTGGGGCAGTTCCGAGGGGAGGGGGATGTGGATTTTGGGGGCAGATGCAGGAAGAACCCCCCCAGGTGGGCCCAGATGGTCAAGGGACCCCCACCCTTCACCCCCAAAAGGGACCCAGGGTGAGCCCCCCAAAGCCAAGCAATGCAGGAAGGACCCAGGCGTCCAGGCAACCCCCCCGTCCCCCCCAAAAACAAGACCCAAGTGTCCAGGTACCACCTGGGCACAGACCAATGCCCCCCATCCCACCCCAAACTTGTCCATACTGGTCCAAACTGGGCTGCACCCAGCGCCGGGGAGGCCGGGGGAGCCTGAACCTTGCGCGTGCCTCAGTTTCCCCAGCCGAAGGAGTCGGGTCACTGAGGAAAGGGGGCGGAGGGGATGGCTGGGACTCGCTGGGAGGTTACTGGGAGGCACCGGGAGGAAGCACTGGGGGGCACCCACCATGGCACAGCGCAGGCACTGCCTCCAGCGGCACTTCTGGCGCTTGAGGTTCTGCCCCCCGAATTTGGGCTTGTCCCGGCAGAAGTCGCAGCGGCCGCAGTCGGCCGGGCGCCGGCAGGCTGCGCACACCCCGCAGCGCCGGCTGGCCCGGCTCCGCACCCCCCGCTGCCGGCAGAGAGCAGCGTCACCCCCGGGTCCCCAGCTGTCCCCAGGGCCCGCCGCAGGGAGTGTCCCCAGGGCGGCTGGTGTTAGTGTGGGAGCAGCTATTAGGAGCGTTACGGTAGATGCGGCAGTATTAGGGGTATTACGGCAGCCAAGCAGCAGCAGCGGGTTAGGCACAAGGCAGACATTCCGGTATGAGCAGCTATTAGAGGCATTACGGTATCTGAGCCCCAGTATTTGGGGCATTACGACATCTGCATTCTGCTATTAGAGACATTACGGTATTTGCACCCCACTATTTGAGGCATTACAGTATCAGTACCCCGCCACTATTAGAGGCATTAATTACAGTATGCGAGCCCTGCTCTTTGGAGCATTACGGTACCTGCACCCCACTATTAGAACCATTATGGTATCTGCACCCCACTATTAGAGGCATTACGGTATCTGAGCCCCAGTATTTGGGGCATTACGACATCTGCATTCTGCTATTAGAGACATTACGGTATTTGCACCCCACTATTTGAGGCATTACAGTATCAGTACCCCGCTATTAGAGGCATTAATTACAGTATGCGAGCCCTGCTCTTTGGAGCATTACGGTACCTGCACCCCACTATTAGAGGCATTACGGTATCTGAGCCCCAATATTTGGGGCTCAGTATCTGCACCCCACTATTGGTACTTTGGGTCCTGCCATTAAACCTGTAGCGAGTATTAGGAGAATTATGTAACCAAGTCCTGCCCTGAGAACCTGTAGCGAGTATTAGGAGAATTATGTAACCAAACCCTGCTCTGAGGGTTTTGGGGTACCTGAACCCCATTATTTGGAGGATTGCAGTGCTGCAACCCCACAGCCAGGGTTGCTCAGACTGTGCATCAGCTGTGAACAGCTTTCGGGGTGTCACAGTGACCCGGCCCCAGCATTAGGGGTATTATGGTACTGGCACCCCAATATCAGTGGGGTTTGAGAGTGCTGAACCCCAGTATTCAGCCTTGGAACAGCTCATAGGATTATTACGGTACCTGCACCCCATTACTGCAGGGCCTGAACCCCAGAATTAACAAGTGGCACAGCCTTTAGGAAGATTACGGTAGCTGCACCCCAATATCCTGAATCCTGAACATCGGCATTAGGGGCTGGAACAGCCACTAGGATCATTACGGTACCTGCACCCCAATAACCTGAATCCTGAACATCGGCATTAGGGGCTGGAACAGCCACTAGGATCATTACGGTACCTGCACCCCAATACTGCCCCCCTTTTGCAGGCCCCTATATTAAGGGCATTACGGCTTCCCCTGCCCCAATAGCTGCTCTGGAAGGGGCGTGGCTAAGACAAGGGGGCGGGGCCAAGGCCTGTCACTCACCCCGCGGGGCCCAGGGGCCTTCGGGGGTCGCCCCGGCTTCTTCTTCTCCTTGCCCTTGGTCAGCAG